GGGGGCTAATTACCTGTACTTGCAGCTATATATGGTCACCTGGCCTGCCAAAACAGGGCCCCCAGGGCTCTTCATGTTCACGTCAACTGTAAACAGCTGGTCTGCTTCTGTGACATATTCAACCATGACCACATACTGGCCGACCTGTGGGACACGCAGCTGCAGATGCAGTTCCACCTGCCAAAGAGGCCAAACAGAGCATCATCCAGATGTGGAACACACACATGAACATATTTACATACATGATGATGAAAATAGAGAAAACACACCAAGGAGACACTTCTACATGTCAGCATAGTATGGATCTGGCTCTAAGGGTGGATATGGGAAAAAATATACTTGATGCCCCATTGAATTTGAAGTCCAGATAAGCAACGAATAGTCGTTTACATGAATTTCAAATCTAAAGCAGCATTGTGTATTTTTATCCTCCAAATCTTGCGTAGGGGTGTCTACTTCTTCCACCCTGTAGTGGTTTAGCTCCCATTTCTCACAGTCAAAGGCACTCCCAAAATTGAAGTAAAACAGATTACCAACGAAGGGTATGAGGAATGGATATATGCCTTGAAGCTTTTTAGCTGTTATTTTACAAAGAATTTAAATTATCTCAGTGAAAATAACATAAAAGTGACACATGACTTTCCCAGCCCTGTTGATAGCTTGGTACATCATGACAATGACAACTGATAGCTTAGTTCTCATATTTTCAAACCATTTTCTATGCCTGGATGTGCACACACACTTTAAACAGCAACAACAACAATAACTGTGGTCATGGTAGGCAATCAAGGATGTTCTTGAACTATAATAACACAAACCACGTGGCCTGCAAAGTCGAGGAATAAATACTATCTGGCTCTTTACAGAAAAGTTGTGCTCCCCTGATCTCAACTATTGGATAGGAGCATGGAGTCTGAAATCGGATTGCTCCCAGATATGTGATCTAGGGTTTTTTTACTTGACATCTTATGTGTCAGTACCCTCCTGTGCAAAATGAGGATAACAACAGTACCTACCTCTTAAGATAGTTTTGAGGATTAAATGAATTAATATATGTAGAGCTCTTAGACCTATATGTCACATGTCCTAAGCAGTACATAAACATTGATGATTATAGCTGTGATTATAGCTTTTTACTATGACTTGTTTCACTATGACTTGTTACTCAACAATACTTCATATGTCTTTTTTAGCATAGAGAAATATACTTCATTTTTCTAACAGTTACCTACCACTCTAGTGTATAACTATAAAAATATTTAATCCCCTATGGATGAACACTTAAATTGTCTTTAATTTTCATATATATGGATATATACACATACACACATATATTGGAAATATATATATATGTATATATTTTATATATAATATATATGTGTTATATATATTTTATATATAATATATGTGTGTATAGGGAATTTATATATATTTATTAATTTATATATATGGAATTTATATATGTATTTAATTTATATATATATTAATATATATATTAAAATTCCATGATGGTATTTTTATAAGATTCCTCGAAATAGAATTGCTTGTGTGAAGTATGTGGTCATATTTCATGCCTAACCCAGTATTAGAATTATATTCCTTAGCAGTGTGTAACCCACCTTAGTTCATTCGTTCAAACCCAGTTGAGTTATACCACACTTAATTGAAATGGTCTTTCTTCTCCTTGCCTTCAGGAAATTCACATTGACTGCTCTTTCTGAAAAGTTCTGAACCACATAAATGCTATTTTCTGTGGTGATTTTTCCACCACTTAAATAACAGAAAGATTCCCTCAGGGAACTACGTGGATTATCCACACCACTCTTGGCTCTATTACACAGTGACGTATGGCACTACCAATGGTACAGGTGGAGAGGTCATTTCTGGCTTCTCGCCCCTGGGCATCTCCAGATGAAACATTTTCTGTCTTCTCTCCACTATAAAATGCACATGGGTCAATGACTCTTCAGGTTTTCTCCCAGAGGTTATCATTGGCTGCAAGTTCTATCATACTCTACTATAAATTTCTAATATGCTTCCCATTCTGAGTTCTATGGATTGATTTTTGAAAGATCTGTTGGAAGAGTTTAAAATACATTTGATGGCAAAAGCAAGTTTTGAGAAACTCAGATAAAAGACGTTACAATGACAAACAAAATCTTTATGCTTACTGTTATCAGTTACTTATTTTTTAAAAGGGAAATTTGAATGGAACCAGTATCAAAATGGTTTGTGCAGTTTGTGGCACAAACTGCCCTCTCCTAGTTACAATGGTTTAGGATAAAGACATAGAAAGCGGGTTTATCAAATCTGTTATTTGTGCAGATACCTAACAACTCTGATGTCAAAATGGGGATTCAAATGATGTGGTCAACAAGTATTAAATGTATATTCTAGGCCAGGTTTACTGGACAGATGGTGGGAATACCAAGGGGAACAAGGCAGACATGGTCTCTACCCTCACACAGACTTTAATGAAATAATTCAATAACTAGACAATTATGACGTAAAATTAAAAAGCTATTTTTAATTATATTTAAGCTTATTAGTTTGAGTGTATATAGTCACATGGAATTAGAAGGTCTGGAGGCATTCAGATAAAACTGTAAACAGAAATTTTCAATAAAACTGGACAGCTCTGGACTTCGTTATATGCATCAACCCAAAGTGATTCTGCTGAACAGGTCAGTGCTGTGGCTCTGGGCTCTATCACAGGTAAGAACACCTTCTGATGAGTCTTCAGCATCCCTTGCTGGAAGCTGGCCCTTCTCAGCTACACCAC